TACTCTCTTAGTACAGCGCCAACAAACTTTTTTGGTAAAGGGCAGGTAAATTATTTTAGGCTTGTGGAACATACGGTCTCTATTGCAACCACTGAACACTGCTGTTGTAGCACAAAAACAGTCACAGATAATACATTAACAAATGACCATGGCTGTGTTCCAATAAAACTTTACTTGTAAAAACAGGCAGCGGCCAGGATTTGGCCCATAGCCTGTAGGTTGCTGACCCATCTTAGTGCATTTCATAACATGGAATGAGTTTTGGATACTCAATACCATGACTGAGAGTAGAGGATGTATCCTTAAGTTTACTTGCAATGATTCCTTATATTATTTAAAGAAAAATATTCCATGGAACAATGTGGACAATAGTCCTGGCCTCAGAAAATTATTCTTAGGATTGAAAAGCAGGTTGTATAGTAGAATCAGTGTGGACAAAACACACAAAAATAATTGGCAAAAATCCCAAAGCTTTGGGGAGTGCAAAACAATACTATCCTTATGGAAGGAAATTTAACAACATCTATCAAAATTTAAATACATTTACTCTTTGACCCAGAAATCCAAAGTCTAAAAATTTATCCTATTTCTGTACCTATGTGAATTGAAGTATATCAAGCTTAATCATTATAGCATTGTTTGTAATGAACAAGATCAGAAACAACCCAAATGTCCATATACAGAAACATCATGTAGCTGTAGGAATAAAAACAAAAACAAAAAACTACATATATTAATATGGAAAAATCTCCAGGAAATGTTTTAAGTATTAAAAAAAGCAAGAACATAAGTAGTATGCTATCTTCTATAAGAAAGAGAAAATAAGAATATATAATTGGAACTTCCCTGGTGGCTCAGTGGTTAAGAATCCGCCTGCCAATGCAGGGGACACGGGTTCGAGCCCTGGTCTGGGAAGATCCCACATGCTGCGGAGCAACTAAGCCCATGCGCCACAACTACAGAGCCTGCACTCTAGAGCCCGTGAGCCACAACTACTGAGCCCGCGCTCCTAGGGCCTGTGCTCTGCAACAAGAGAAGCCACCACAATGAGAAGCCCATGCACAACGAAGAGCAGTCCCTGCTTGCTGCAACTGAAGAATGTCCGTGCACAGCAATGAAGACCCAACACAGCCATAAATAAATAAATAAATAAATATTTTTTAAAAAACAGAATATAGGACTTTCCTGGTGGTCCAGTGGTTAAGAATCCACCTTCCAATGCAGGGGACCCGGGTTTGATCCCTGGTTGGGGACCTAAGATCCCACGTGCCATGGGGCAACTAAGTCTGCGTGCCACACTGCTGAGCCCGCATGCTCTGGAGCCCACACGCCACAACTAGAGAGAAGCCCACACACCACAATTAAGACCCAACACAGCCAAAGAAAAGAAGGAAAGAAGGAAGGGAGGGAGGGAGGGAGGAAGGGAGGAAGGGAGGGAGGGAGGGAGGAAGGGAGGAAGGGAGGGAGGAAGGAAGGAAGGACAGAAGGAAGGAAAACATAATTGCTTTTGCTGATATCTGAATAAAGAAACCTTGAAAGGTATTCAAGTAATCTAAACGGTTACCTATAGAAGTGGATAGGAATTGAGAGAAAACATCTCCATGTATGTACGTGTGTATGTGGGTGTGGGTGTGTGTGTGTGGTTTTGTTTTTTCAACCATGTAAATGTATCAGCTATTCAAATAATAAACTTTAAAGAATAATATTACTTTAGAATCATTCTAAGGATTAAAGAGTTTGTAAATGTAACCAATATAAAATCTCTAACACAGTGTTTTACACACAGTGGGTGCTGCTATGTCCTGTTGCTGGTCTTTTTAAATGTCATCCAAATGGTGTGATAACATAAACGAATAAAAGAATAAATACCAAACACTTAGACTCAATATTTTCATCTCTAGGAATCTACCTTAATAAAAATCTAAAAATTGGACAAAGATTTGAATATAAATAATGAACTGCTGAAAACCCAAAAACTCAAAAATAGAGAAATATTCAATAAACTATAGTACACCTATACTTATAAAGCATTTTTAATGACAGAGAAAATGCTCAAAATATACAACTTTATAATCTCAAATGAGGGGGACAGAGTGGTGAGGGTGGGGAGTGAGGGATTGGAAAGCAGAGAGATATATGCAGAAATAAAAGACCTAAGTAAAGTACAGCCAGTAAACTTTTATAGAGGCGTTGTTGGCAATTTTTATTTTCTCTTTAATTCTTTTCTGTACTTTTCAAATTCTCTTTTAATCATGTAATCCTAAAAAGGAAAAGAAAGAAAGAGAAAATGGATTTCGGGACCAAAGAAATGCAAGTTCAAATCCCATATTATATATGCAATTTTAGACAAGTTAATTAAGCTGTTAAAAAGCTGCCAGATTTGTAAAATGGAGATGATACAGAAATTCCAGGGTTATTTTAAGGATTAGAGAAATTATATGTAAAAATGACCTAACTAATGTCTTAAACATAGTGAATACTAACTAGTATTATTCTCATACATCTTATCTGTGTAACATCCTCGCCTATAATAAAATTATACTAGGGGACTTCCCCAGCAGTCCAGTGGTTAAGACTCCACACTTCCACAGAATGGGGCGTGGATCCAATCCACAGGGATCTAAGATGGGGGAACTAAGGTGGGGGAACTGGTTGGGAAACTAAGATCCCACATGCTGTGCGGCATGGTGAAAAAAAGAAAAAGAGAGAAAAATAAAATAAAATTATACTATATTTTATCAATCTAAGGTACTATTCCTTTAAGATGCAAGGAAGTTTTAGAAATGTTGAAATGTGAAAAATGATCATCTTAGATTTGATGAAATTCAGTGTTTAAGTTTAGTGAAATAAATGCTACTTTCCATACGTATCTTTTTATTTACTACAATGGAGTGTAAACTGCATTAGAAGCATATATTAAAAATAACAGGAGGGACTTCCCTGGTGGCACAGTGGTTAAGAATCCACCTGCCAATGCAGGGGACACGAGTTCGAGCCCTGATCCGGGAAGATCCCACATGCCGCGGAGCAACTAAGCCCATGCGCCACAACTACTGAGCCTGCACTCTGGAGCCTGCGAGCCACAACTACTAAATCCCGTGCACCTAGAGCCCGTGCTCCACAACAAGAGAAGCCACTGCAATGAGAAGCCCACGCACCGCAACGAAGAGTATCCCCTGCTCGCAGCAACCAGAGAAAGCCTGTGTGCAGCAACAAAGACCCAACACAGCCAAAAAAATAAATAAATTTTATTTTAAAAAATATATTAAAAAATGGGATTCCCAGGTGGCGCAGTGGTTGAGAGTCCGCCTGCCGATGCAGGGGACACGGGTTCGTGCCCCAGTCCGGGAAGATTCCACATGCCGTGAAGCAGCTGGGCCCGTGAGCCATGGCCGCTGAGCCTGCGCGTCCGGAGCACAGCGGCGGGAGAGGCCACAGCAGTGAGAGGCCCGCGTACGGC